TGTCTAATTGAGGAATCTGATCTTTTAGATACCTCAAACGAGACTCGAGTTCCCGCTGGTGGTCTTGAAATTCCTGGAACTGCTGCTCAACGGCGTCACGGTCGTTCTCAAGTTTAGCGACTTGCTCCTTAGTCGTATCAGCCACGAGCTTGCTCGACATCAAGCCTCTTTTAGCAGTGTTTCCACCTCCAGACATGGTACCACTCAGATCGATAAGCTCTCCATCAAGTGTAACCACCCTCCATCTCTGCGCGCCATAAGCGATTCGGTTTGCCTGAGCCAGGTCTTCGGCGACTAGAGTATTTTTTAATGACTGGTAGAAAGCAGGGCGGAACTTGTCTTCCTTGGCTTTTATCAGGTCGAATAGGCGTGGCGCATTCTCAGGTGTTTGCATAGGTTGTAGATCGAACCGACCAATTCTATCCAAACATATGAAGTTACCTCGCCCAATGTTGGTCTTGCGAAGATACTCTATGCACTGCTGACTGGCTTCAACTGTGTCGGTAACGAAGTGGTTAAGAGATGGACAAGCCGTAGAGATAGCAACGTCGTATTTCTCATCGATTGTACCCAGGTTTCCGAGACGACCGTAAAAGCTATCGATTCGTCCGGATTCCTTCATTCGCATCAATGCAGTAAGTACATTGCCTCGAGTTTGTGTCTGAGAAAGACTAGATCGCGCTTCTTCTGCCTTTTGCCGAGCATCCGAAACCTTCGCCCGAGCCTTGGGCTCCATCTGGGCCAGGCTTTCTAGGTCGGCCGCGACCTTCTTTGCTTCCTTCTCCCACTTTGCCTTTTCTGCTTGACAGTCCTTTAGCTCTACCAATTTGGCTTTGCGCCCTTCGTCGATATTGGCAATCTTTGTCTGCATCTCTTCGAGTGCGACCGCGCCAGAATTGGCCTTCTCCTCGAGAATGGCTAATTCGGCCTCGGCGACAGCAATGGCGGATTGCTTCTGGTTGATTTTCTCCTTCCAAGGTTCAAGGGACTTCTGTTTCGCAGCGATCTGATCCGAGAAGCCTTGTGTCTTGCCTTTTAAGCTGTCTCGTATCGTTGCAAGTTCTGCCTCCTCTTCCTGCACACGTTGCTCCAGAGCTGCGATCTCTTCAGCACGCGAAGCAATCTCTTCAGTGCACTGCGCGACGGTTTCCTCAGCTTCTGCTGCAGATCTTTCGGTATTCGCAATCGTCTTCTCCAGTTTCTTCTGCTTATCAGTTAAGAACTTGCGTTTTTCGTCAAACCTGACTCTTTCCTGTTCGAACTTGGACACTTCCTTGACAAGAGACTGGACGTGCTTTTCCTGCGCCTCAAATTCCTTGGACCCCTTAGCATAGGCTTTTTGCAACTGTTTAATAACCTGCTCGCCACCCTGGTGTTTCTCGAGTTCTGCATCAAGCTGAGCTTGCATCTGACTAATTGCCTCTTCAGTGACGCTCACGTTGTTGTTACACTCGCTAATGTAAAGTTGGTAAAGCGCAGACTGCTTGAGGGTTAGGTCGTTCTCGTCCCGGATAAAGGCCAAAGCTTTATTTTTCTTATCCTCGAGGCTATTCTTCTCTTTCTCCACATGTTGAACACGGCCGCTCTTCTCCATACAGACTTCATTAAGCGTTTCCACTTCCGCTGCTGCCTCTTCGATAGGCGTCTTATATTTGGAAGTGCCAATGATATCTTCTAAATATTCTAGTAGGCCATCCTCGTGTTCATTACCAGCCTTTGGCTTCATCTGAGCAATTGACTCAACTTCACCTTGTAGGATGAGGAAACGCTTATGATCGAGATCAATTCCCCGGTTACGTAGTAGAGTCGTTACTGTTGTGAAATTAGACTCGGCTCCGTTAATGTAGTATTTACTTGAATTGTTTTTGAATGCTTTTCTCGAGATAATAATCTGGGAGTTGGGAATCACTTCCGTTCCACCGCCGGGCTAAAATCAAAATTAGCATGTTTCGCTTGTCTCATCCCAGAATCGGACCAACTTACCAGATCCATGACCTCCTGGAAATGAACAGCCACTTCACAATGATCTAGGTTTGGGTAGGCAGCAGAGCTATGGATCAAAGCCGATATCTTGCCCTGCCGCATCTTACTGGCCCTAAATCCAAAAACGAAAAGAAGAGAATCAATAACATTTGATTTACCGGAACCGTTGGGTCCCACCACTGAAGAAAAAGAGGAGTGGAACGGGCCAACCTCTTGTCTCCCAGCATAACTCTTGAAGTTGGTCAAGATCAGGTATGTAATAACAATACGAGCCTTGGGTCCTGTATCTTCGACGACGGGCACTGCCATCTTGCGCGACTTGAGAACAATATCCATAGGTCTCTCTAGGACCGTGTCCATCGCCTTGATAGGCTTAACCTGAGTGATGGTCTCATCTGGGTCCTGCTGTTGCTCGTCAGCACTCTGGGCGGTGGTATCAGCTAGGGGTGTGCCGCGAAGTTCGGATGGTTCCTCGGACTGAGCGGGTGTTGGGATATGGCGTTGGCTCTCAGGCGTGCGCTCAGGCGTGGGCTCCTTGACGGGCGTAAGCTCTTTAACAACTTTGCGCGGCGCAACGCTCTTTCGTTTCCTTGGCGTGGCTTTATTAGGAGTCGGTTCTGGGCTGAGGATTGAGGTAGATGTTTTGTCGGGATCGGGGACTTGGCTTTCTTCAATAGATGGCTCTAACGCGACGCTGGCGGTGCTCTTCCTTGGACGGCCCACGCGCGGTGTCGCAGGCACTGCAGATTTCCTTCTGCTCTGAGTTTGACGCCGTGAAGCTCTGGCAGTTGATGTCTCAGGAGCAAATTCTTCTTCACTTTCCTCTTCTTTTATTTTTCTGGTAGTGTTTGCGACGGCATCCTCTTCATCTTCGGATTCAATAATAGCTGTGCGTCGAGCCGCTGCGGCACGACGAGTCGGCCGTGTAGACATTGTTAACTAAGTTGGGCTATCGAAGAGGAGAAAAAACCCTGTTGTTCGGGCTACGTATGGTTGGAATGGTATAAATTCGTCAGGAGCTGCCGTCGGCCTTAGCACGTTTAATTACTAAATTGATAGTTAATTGATAACGGCAGGAATAAATTAGGCGCCCGGATCTCGGGTAGAAAGTAAACAAAAACACTGACAAACTACTTTAAACCCCACACTGTACGATACAAACCCCCCACCACAATCGCTACAATCGTTACAATCGCTGCAATCGCTGCAATCGCTAGGTACCTATCTACCTACCTACAATCACCAGGTTTAGAGTTATTACTAAGCCAATAATAAATCAACAGCGCGTCGGCAGCTTCTTTCAACAAATGCCAACAAGCTATCCAAACGCGGTGTCCCTTTAGAGCAACTTATCCGATAAATCGCCGGCGCATCTGCTGCTACATTTTTACGCTTCTTTTAAAGCAGCATACAGCTCAAGCTACAACGATATCGAATAATCGTATTTACAAAAGATACCTTTTTTAGATACTTGGTTGCAACCTTGGCCTTTCCAAATAACCAATAGTAAAAGAAAAAAAAATGCTGGACCCCTCTAAGTTCGACCGCATTTTCGGCTCTCTAGATCCCTTTCCTTATGACCGCAAAGTTATTCAACACCTAGAGTCTTCTCGCCGAAGGCTTGACGGTTCTTTGTTCATTGACCGAGTGATGAAAGCTCTGAACCTATCAAAAGGTATATTTATGCTTATTTTATTTAGTTAGAATGATATGCTCTCGTTAAATACTGATACTACTTCTACGAGTAGCCGCCAGCCACTATCCCCCTAAGAACAGCGACGCCCTTCGACAGTTATACAGCCAAATATGCGAGACTAAGAACGCTAGCATCCATCATAAGCTCTCCGTAGTCTTCTATCTACTTCTCGACGTCGACGATCGCAATGGTTCCAACCGGGCAGAATCCCACGCCCAGCGTACCAGCATGCCTAAAAACTACAGGATCTTCATGAAGGGTTTATGGCACATGGATGCTTTACAATTCGATCTCGCATTACAGTATCTTACACACCCGTCGCTCCAGCCCGACTTCGTCGACGACATCATCACCGTCCTCGTCCATAATGCCAAGGATGGCGATTATAGTCTTCCTCTTGCCTACTACCATACTGTTCAGCCTATTGTTCAATCATCTTCGGCATTAGAGCTACTATTCAATGCCCTCGCGCGATCGAGCGTCATCGACGCCTTCCAGTTTACGCGGTCGCATGCTGAATTCATGCGTCGCCAACTTTTCCAGCGCCTCGTCCTATCCGTGCTAGAATCTGCCCATAATGACGAGTCGGCTGAGAGAGCGCTCGATTTAACTAGCTTACCGTTTGACGCCCAAGAAGAGCAGTGGTTTAGAGAATCCTTAGAGAGTGGCGAGGGAAAGCGGCTGGCCGTGGCGAAGGATACGCTTCTCATGCGCCGGATCGCTGCCGGTCATGCTGGATTCGGAGGTGAAGCTGGTACTTGGGCCGTTGTTCTAGAGGGTGTCAAGACAGGAAGCGGTGGACGTGCACAGGTGTGATCAAGCCGAAATGTCTGGGTTTTGATAATGAATTTGTGTATATTAGCCACATAGCGCCGGCGTCTGGTTTTTGTTGGACCTTCCCCATGTATCAGGGGATATACTTATTAATGATTTTATAATCTTACAACCTCCGACCTCGTCTTTATCTCTTGTCTAGGAGCTAGAATATATATGCCTTAGACCTTTATACCAACGTACGATTACAAATGGGAGGTTTAATTACCAGAATACCGCTTTGGCATAACTATAATATATGCCGGTATTTACATATTGTATAAACGAAATTTACATAGTGAAGAATAAAGATAAGAAAAATGGTAGCTAATTAGCCCTTTCTCCTTCCCCCTTTCTTTCCCCCAAATCACCCGAGGTACATATCATACACAAAAGAAGAATAATGGAAAGAAGAAGGGGGGGGGGGGGGGGGAGAGAGAAATCAGCCACGATATAGTAGGTATCGTATAAAGGGGGAGAAAAGAGAAAAAAGAAAAAAAAAAGGAAACTCCGAATCGGGGAATCGAACCCCGGGCTTGACGGTTCCTATCATCGTTTCGATAATGAGAGCGTCAAATGTTAGCCACTACACCAATTCGGATTGTTGGAAGTCGCATGTTTTTAGCTCTTATGTAAAAAGTCTGCTATGACGTACAGTATATTAGTAGTTCTATCGCGGGGGCCTACACTATTACATAACAAAACCCTCCAATATTGCGCTTGTTTTGGCCGAATTCAATCTGTTAACCGTGCGAGAAGTCTTATTATTCTCTTTACTACCTAGGTACTATATAAAATCGGCCGGCTTAATCCATCGTTTCATTCTTTGGTAAGACTTTTTTCATATCTTAATTTCGATAACTCGGACTTTCCTCTGACTAAATCATTGAACATTAATATTTAGCCTCTGCCACGGGCCAGTTACATATCCGCTAAGGTACTCGATACAAATAATTAATGAAGCTCCAATGTCGTAACCTAGCGACGACAACATTATGTTTCTGGGTTAATCTAATAAATATAGTTATTTAAATTCCTATAATACCTCATCAAGTGTTACGCCACCTCGCTTGGATCCCTATACTAATTATCTATGCGTAAAACAAGAGAGGATTTGTTCTAACTATGTGTATTGGACGTGTTTGATATCAATTTTCTAGTTTACGCTTAGTTAGATGTACCATTTCAGGTATCTATCGTTCGAAGCACTCAGCACCTAGACATGGTTTTATTGTTAGGTAGAAACGTCCAACGGCTAACACAATAACTACCTAAAAGTAGGAATCAAAGTGTAAATTTTCAAGCGTAATCCTCTTGAGGCATCCAAGGTATAGACGTTTGTGTATACCTACTTAATATCTAGCCAGCTTCCATAGGAACCTGTCACCCATCTCTCAGCCCATACCAAAGACTAGAGAGCAACCTACTGAAGCCTCCTGCCCCCCCCCGCCTCTCCCCCGTAGACCAAATATTCATGCCAAACATCAGTTCTTCGCATTCGCATCAAAATACTTGCTATCTACATATTACTTGTCGCTCTAGTGATCATCATTATGCCTACCCTCCTGTTCCCGGTAGTTTTTATTGGTGTATTGGCAACTCTAGCGCACGGCTTGGCCACTGCGACGCGAAGGCGAAGGCGAAGACGACGACAAAGACAAAGTCCTCCGTCAACAAGACTACAAATTCCACTCGTATATATGCAGGGTGGCCACCTTGGAGGACGAAATCTTTTTGCCCGATGTGTATATACCGATGACGGTCGACGTGCCTGGGTTATCGAAGATGCTTATGTTTTGGACGTCGATATCAATGACCTGGAACGTGGAAGAAGGATTAACACAACAGCAGATAATCCACGAAGCCACAGGCAGCGATCGTGCAGACCTGGTATAAAAGGTACGTGCGACTTTATGCATGATACCTCTGCACCGCAGCCGCATTCAACCAATGATATAAATAGCTTGATGTAACCGTGCAAATGAGGCAGCCATCTATTGGCACTGCCGCAATCCTTCCAAGCCCTACGACCCAAGTCATACTCCAACATACACTAGCAGGCTAGGCCCGCTTGTATGCTACTTGCCTATGATGCTTGAGCTTATAAGAATGAATCAAGAGAATTGATGATTCACAAACTTATAGCTATACCTTTTTACTCACCATATTGAGTCGTCTTAGGTATAATCCCACTAACAACCAACATGGCCGATCCGCTATCGATGGCAGCCAGCGTGATAGGCGTCGCTGGGCTCGCCGTATCTACAGCACGAACACTCGTTTCATTAATCCAGGAGATGGCCGATGCACCGCAGGAGATACTCCATATTCGCCGCGACGTGCAGAACCTTTCCGCAGTGCTCGGGTCTCTCCAGGATACATGTGCTAAATATAATCTAAAGTCGGAAGACCTTGCGCTAGAGAGCAATTTAGCGGAGTGTATCAACCTATGTCAAGACAGCATGCAATCCATTCATACACTTATAACACCTCTGAAAGGGACAGGAAGGAGAAGCCCGATAAGGATGGTGGGTTGGGTAATACGGAAAGGCGAAATCAAAGCGTTACGAGAGAGACTCCAGGAGGGTAAAGCAAGTTTAAATATCACAATATCGGTAATAAACGGGTTCGTGAACTACAACTCCCATTGTACCACGTTATCACCTAAACTATCCTAATTTCAAGGCAGGTCTCTCGAGGGGAAAGGCCAAGATGAGATCAAAAACGATGTCAACAAAATCTATGAGAAGCTTTCTAGTGAGCTCCGTGGCCGAGACAGCGGAAAGAGAGTTCGCAAGAGAATGGAAGACGATGTTGCGAGTGTTTCGGCTTTTGGAGGACGGCGTCAATCTATATCTCAATCAACAGACGCTGCGTTTCCTTTGAACAGATACCTCGATCAGTTACCAGAACCCCCAAGGCCTACGTCCTCGGGACACTATCAGTCCAATTCCCAGGCAGCCAGTGAACTGCTCCTTAGTCCATTCTCGGCGGAACCAAATACTTTGCTTGAAGCAGTTAGGGCTGGGAATGGCGACGGTGTTATCCGTCTCATTTCAAGCGGATATTCAACAGCTGAGAGAACCCAAGATGGACAAACAGTGCTTCATTTCTGCGCCATATATAACGACGCGGAGATTGCCCAGCTCCTGCTCGACCATGGTGCTGATATCAACGCGCGCGACAATCAGCTGCGCTCTCCACTAAGCGTCGCCCTCTCGTCTGAGGCTTTGAGCGTTGCTAATGTCCTGGTACAAAGAGGATGCTCTCTAACGGGATCCATAGACATGATTTTCCCCTTAATTCAGAGGATAGAGGAGATACCCGGTATTAGGCCACTAATTAAAACTCTAGCACCAAAATTTAACAAGGCGGCCTCTGGTCCATACCTTATCCATCAAGCTCTCGAGACTAACGACCTTCAGAGTCTGGAAATCCTCCTTTCTGCAGGATTCGACCCAAATGTCAGAAACAGGCATGGTAAGCCGTGGTTATAGGGATTTCAACCAAAATTTGAAATTAATTAAAATATATCTTAGGTATTCCTCCTTTGTATCAGGCGATGGTACAACAGCAAGTACACGCTGTTCGATTACTATTAGCCCATGGTGCTAACAAGAACGATTACCTACCACCAGAGACACGGGATAAGCTCGACGAAAGTATTCGCTTTCATCAGAGACTAACAACTTTTATTGACACTGGATATGTCCCATTAGAAATTGCAGCAAGATTACTGAGGGATGTGGAGATGACCCGTGTTCTGCTGGAAAGTGGAGCGGATGTGAATTACGTCTATCCGATTGATGGTAAGTCCTGAGTATCTACCTCTTTGAAGATACAAATACTGATATCCATCAAGGCGGCGTAGTGCTGAGCGGCCTGGGTGACGAAGAGTATTTTGAAACTGCTAAAGTAATAATAGACAGTGGTGCCGACATGCACATTAAAGGTCATAACGGAAGAGACCCCTTTTTGTGGGCAAATGCGTGTTCAAATACAAAATTAACAGAGTACATGCTGACACACGGCGCCGATGTCAACCACTTCTACTACGACGATTACCCAACTGCCCTGTTTCTCTGTGCAGAATGGGACTCCAGAGAGAACGCTAAAGTATTACTGAAACATGGTGCAGATTTAACGATAAAGAATAATTCGGGACAGACCGCATTAGATATTGCTCGGTCTGCGCAACATCACGAAATGGTAGCAGTTTTGGAGGGGGCTACTTGATAGATGCTTACGACTATCGGAACTCGTAGAGGTTAGATTGGATATGGTTGAAAAAAAAATTAAAAATAAAAATTTTTAAAAAAAGTCGAGTCTTTCCAGACGGCAGATACGAAGGGGGGGGGGGGGGTACTGGCTTCGTAATTAAGCCCAGCACAATAACTAATGATAATCGAGGGGGTTCTTATGCAAAATATACCGCGGACGACATGTAGATATAACATATTATAGGTCGCATAGGGGAGGATATTCCTTTAGCAAGGCGTAGTGGGCGGTTCCAATGCTAAGTATTCGAGAAAAGAAAAAACAAAAAAGGCCCATTAGAGGTCTGAAACTCTTAAAAGACTCCATTTGGAATAATGGATCGCAGAAACGCTTCATATTTCTGGTGACGGCCAAGTAATTACTATTTTGTTTATGAAAATGGCCAATTCAACAGTAACGTCTTAGTTGTATATCATAAGGCTTGGTCAACTGGTCGTGTGGTCGATATTCACTCAGAATAAAGGCGATTGTAAATTTATATTGAGACCTGAGTCTAGCACATTTGCTAAGATGGAGGGTTTTCTCTTGTAATTTATGTTGCATGTCTAAAATAAAGGCTAGAACTTAATATGATAACAGCAACCCCCTAGCCAGAAGCCAATTATCAGCTATCCCGGCGACTGCTCACCTCGTAGTCCCGACAACCAGGTCGACAACAGTCTCGGGATGCTGTGTTACAAGATCCTGCTTCATGTGTATACTCTATACCTAGTAAATCCTGTGCCTTATTTGCTGGATATATCGCAGCGCAATGTACCCTACAAAAGCTGCCATGATATCTTCCCTAAATGGAACCCGAAGCGTTCTCGGATTAGGTATTACAAATAAGCCGCGACTAAAAGTTGAACCGCTGCCTCCTGTGTGCCGATTGTGACATTATCATACGGCCCCTGCCATTGGAAGCCATAGAAATTAGACCCGTTCTGCGCGTTCTCATACGCAGTGACCGCATTTTGTGAGATAAAAGAACGATAGCGATGGTCATCTAGGGCGGCGTTGAGCTTAGCCAGCTCTCGGATGAAGATGCCCTTAAACGCCGTGCCATTTGGCTCACAAGCTTCTTCGTTGCTGCAAGGTTCCGAGAGTGTCCCGTCCCTAACGAGCGTCGCGCTGTTGACTACGGCATCCGCTATCCGCTGCGCCTCGTCAAGATATAAGATGTCCCCTGTAGCCTCGTATAGCTCGACAAGACCACCGAGTATTACACCTTGGTTGTATGTCCATATTGTCATTCCATTGTTGACGCAGGCCGCGTCATCCGTTAGGCCGTCGTTGATGAGATTGTCGCCGTTGATCATGCCGCTGTTCTTGAACCATTCCCAC